TCCAGCAAGGTTCTAGGTGCATGCTTATTACCTTGAGCAGCAAGGCTTTAGGACTTATTTTTAAGAAGCTCTTTTTTTTTTTTTTTTTTTTTTTTTTTTGCACCTCCTTGCATTGTGTAAAGGTGATGTGCTATCTCTGAAAACAGTTAATTGTCCTATTAGGAAACCTGTCTGTCTCCACTTGGAGGCCCCCTGGAGGGCAGGATCCATTTCTTGTCTTACTATCACCAAAGCTTGACATATGGTATGGCACATAATAAGTGCTCAATATAGAATTAATGAAAGAGTAACCTTAAAAATAGGGAAATGTCAAAATTACAACCAAACTAAAGTCCAGCCAAATGAGCTCCTGGTCCTCTCAACTGTAAGCCAGGTCTCTTTTATGTATCCTCTCAGTCAGTTACTCAGTGCCATTTTGAGCAAGGCTCCCATGCTGGACACCACGGGGGTGACGTAGAAAGAGAAGGCAGAAACTGAGCATAGGGAAATGTGCAGAGTCAGGGCTCAGGCCCACTTGAAGCAACATTAGAACACTTACATAGTAGCTTCTGAATAAGTGCACATTAAAGGGGTGTGCCTGAGAACCAGAAGGAAACTAAGAACAATCCATGGATACTCTGGAAGCTTGAACCTCTAATTGCTCTATAAATGCCCACTCTATTGTTTGTTTCTTCACTAGTTGAAATCAGGATTGCTTTCTGAAGGAGGTTAGTATGGAATACAAGGCACTCATGTTCCCTGTGGGATATACTGCTACTCTAGACCCACAAACCCATAGACAGGGCCCGTGGCTCAAGGGCCAGTTTTACCATTGTCACATAGGGTCACACAAAGGCTGGGAGCCGCAGTGAGGATGATTGACATTTTCCAACATTGGAAATGATGACTAGAAGCAATATAAGCATAACACATTTGGAGCAAGGAGAAGCAAAAATGGGGCTTGGAGAAGACCCATGCTGAAGGATCCAGGGGAGATGGCAGGGGTAATTTGTACTTCCTTAATAGATGTGGAGCATTTCAACTTTGCTAATTAACGGAACAGCAGGCTTGTAATTCTGACAACAGCAGGACACAAATGGGGTAGGATTAGCACTGAATGCCAGCGAAGCATGCCTTTGTTCTTAAGAAGAGGCACAACACCCACATTGGGTCAGGCCCATGAGGGTGCCACCCCTGATTTTGATTTTGGTCTTTTTCTACAATAACAAAAAGGGCTAAGTTTTTTCTTTTTCTTTTTTTTTTTTTTTGTCTTTTCAGGCCTTCTTTAGAGGTAGCAAGACTGTTTCAATAGGCTTTTTTTTTTTCCCCCCCCAAGATGGAAATAGGTCTATGATTGGTCTAGAGCAGGGTGTCCAGTCTTTTGGCTTTCCTGGGCCACATTAGAAGAAAAAGAATTGTCTTGGACCACACAGAAAATACACTAACACTAATGACAGCTGATGAGCTAAAACAAAAATTGCAAAAAAAAATCTCATAATGTTTTAAGAAAGTTTATGAATTTGTGTTGGGCTGCATTCAAAGCTGTCCTGGGCTATATGAGGCCTGCGGGCCACAGGTTGCACAAGCTAGGTCTACAGTTTATTTTGTAATAGTTCTATCAAATATACCTTATATCAGAAATAGCAATGGCAAGGTAAGCTTGCCTCCTTCAAGAGGTTAAGCCTCATGGAAGTTCTTCCATCACTATTGTCCCATTTTAGAATTTTGGGCTACCTGCAAAATGGGGTGATCTGCCCCTGAGCATCTATAAACTGATTCTGAGCAGGGTAGGGGAATGCGCCAGGAAGCCAGTGAATTGTTTTATCTTCCCAAGGTGCAATGAATCTTGTTAGGGAATTTATTCCCAGTACTTCTTTTTAAAGCATGTTGATCTGATAACCTGAGGCTCTTAAAGGCCAAAAAATATGAAGAAAGGTTTAGAAAGTCTCAGAGTATTAGAGCTGAGTAGTATGCTGGAGGGCATCTACTCAGATCACCAGTGCTTCGTGTGACAGATGAAGTCACTAACCTTGTATAAGTTGTTTTAGGAAGGGTCAACATTTTATTCATTTATTTATTCTTTCATCAAATATTTATTTACCATGAGTCAAATAAGACATGTACCTGATAGTGAAAACATGTTGCTATTTCATTGGTCCTGTTTGAGTTGGCATTCAACGAACTTCTCCTTTATTACATATTCCAACAGCTGGTTTTACAAGGGCCCTGGGGGAATTGATATGATACATAGGATCTTTAGCCAGTGCAAATAGGCTTTATATGCAAGGTCACCAATTTCTGAGCTGCTGGGCTAATTAGTTCTACTTGGCTTTGCATAATACATACATTGTTGGAAAGTTATTTGTAATTTAATTTTTGAGACATGAAAAACTAATTCAAATCACTGAGGGGACTTTTATTTGAAGAGACTGTGGAGCAAACCCTTTTATAATGTGAAAATGTTTGTTGTTATTGGAAAGACTTGTCCCCTAGTTATGGATTTTGTAAATCTGGACACTTTAGGTTTTCTTATGGTGGACACACAACCAGGCCCAGCAGTGGCCTCTACAGGGTTGGATAGGACCCTGGCTTGGGAAGTGAAAGCTCTAGGAATCTTAGAACAGCCCAACCCAATGTACTGACGTTTACTGGAGCCCATGACTGCAAGCTGCATGGACAAGCTGCATACCTTTTCTCAGCTCCTGGGCCCTGGTGAGGAGAAGGAAGAGATGGGGCACAATGAGTGGGTGTGAGGGATGAGACTGGGAGCTTCCTCTTCCTTTCCAAGGGTGGGAGTGGGGAGGAGATAGAATGGGGAACCTTTTGCTTCCATTACAGCAAATTTTAAACTCTTCCTTAAGGTCTTAGGGCTATTTAGAATTAGGACTCCCTTGTATACTGAAACATAGTAGGGAACAAGAGGAAGTGCAGTAGAAAAAAATAGGACAAGAGTTTAGGAGAGAAGAGGGTTATGTGGACTCTTTTTATATAGTAAATCTGATTAGTTTGGGCCTTGCTATTTTTGAACTCGTAAATAATCTGAAAGAAGACGGGACTGAAATTTAACTTTCATATAACATTTTTTTCTATAGAAATTAGTAGAGTGCATGGTAATATAGAGGAAAATGTTTTAAAAATCAAGGTATAGAAAGATATATTTCACAAAGGAAAATAATGTATTTTGATAAAGAAGTATCATTTTTCACAAGATCTTTGTCTAAGAGATAAAGCCTAATAGATTGCCAAGGAAGCTGAAATGTCTCCTTGTTGCATAAGGATGAAAAAATACTTTATGTATCCATTTGTAAATTCTGTAATAATTTATATTGATCCTAATTAGTCTCTATTAGTGAAACTTAATTGTTTTTCTGTGGAGAAGATAAAATTAGGGTATAAATATCTGTAGAAACTAAGGATAGAAAGTTCAGAATAATGCTTTTAGGCTTTGAAGATAGAGTATTTTTTTTTTATGGTGTGATTTTTTTCTGTTGCTCAAGGTCTTCTCAAAGTGAGCCTTGTAGCTGGTTCTCTGTGAGCTAGTAAAGAGAAGCAACTGATGCATAAAAAGACCTGTAGTCTTCATTTGGTGAAAAATGAAAGAGAAGAAATAGGCAAAATGGTCAGAGACACTTAGGAAATTTGTTTTAGGTTTAGGGTATGACTTCTGATCATGGAAACTGGCATTCTGGGAACACATGTCTCTTCCTCCCTGGTTGAGTTTGCAATTGGCTCATGTCACTTCCCTAGGCCAGTGATCTTATGCCTGGCCTGGAATTTTGCTGCCAAAATTTCCAGATGGGCTTCTTGAAACAGCCAATCTTTAGAGATTGAAGGACTGAATGGGATTGTCCTGCCCAGCATGTTGCCTTCCTCTGTAAATTGTCAGATTTGGACCCCAAGGGTATAAGCCAAGTGGAGAAAGGAACCAGTGCAGGTATCCGTGGTCTCTGGTTCTGTCCCCCTGAGCTGACATACAACTGCTCGCCTTCTGGGGTCTATCTGTGTCATGTCCCTGGTGGTGATACTTAACAGAGACCCCAATTAAGTTTGAAGGGCTGCGAGTGTGGGTGGCTTTCCCTGAGAGTCCTTGTGGGGTTCTTAGGTTAAATGATAGGGGTACAGTGGGCTAGCCTAGGGTTCTTTTATGTGGAAGCTGGGTTCTGACTTCCCACACATCTCACACTAGGCTGGATTGTCCTTTCCCTCTTGAGACTACTCTTCCTCCAGGGACATCTTTAGTTTCCATTCTTTGTGAGCCCCAAGCTTCTGCCCCTAGCCCCCTAACAGGAACTCAGCTAGAACATAGAAAGGACTTTCCAACTGAGAAGCAAGATTTAGAAAGGGAACGAGTTAAACAAGGTGGTGCATTTCCTTCCCAGGAGATTTGTGTCTCCCCATCTCATGTCTGTTGTGGACTGATGTTGATGACATTGAGGGGAGGAGGAAGAAGTGGTGAGAGGAGTATTGTTATCAACTTTGCTTCCATTTGTAGGAGTCTTGTGATTTACTTTCCCTGTTTGTAAAATGAAGACTAATAGTTGCTGCGCCACTTGGAGGAAAGACAAGGGTTATTTAGAACTTTGTAGTCCATCTTGATATCAATTCACTAATTCAACAGATATTTACTGAGTGCTGAGTGTGTTCCAGACACTGTGCTAGGCACTAGAGGTACAAACATGATTTTTAAAAAGGCCCCCTTCTTCAAGTTGTTCAACAGCAACAGGGTTGTTGTTTTTGCCCCCCAGGGCATGGAAGTTTGTCTGTGCAGGGAGGGTGACTTGGACTGTCCTCTCCTTGAGAAGGACCAGGGAATTGCTGCCCTGATTACCCACATGGCTGGGATCATGTGGAAGTACCCTTTTTGTTGTGGACCCTCTCCTGGTCCATCAGGCTGGGCTGTAGGACCTGGACAAGGCAGGACCTGTTGACTGATGGTGGGCTTGGGAGGCTGAGTATGGGACCCTGCGATTCAGCCAGCTGGCTCCTCTCACCCTGATTCCTTCTGGTTTGTTGTCCCACAGGGTCTTTTCGGAATGATGGTTTGAAAGCTTCTGATGTCCTTCCTATCCTAAAGGAAAAAGTGGCCTTCGTGTCTGGTGAGTATTTGTGGGACTTTCCTTTGTAAAGGATCTAGAGAAGTTGTGTGTGTGCACATGTGTTTAGGCTCACTTCTTTGTTAGTAAGGGAGAAGTAAGGATGGAAGCTATGCTTGGGGCAGCTGCTTCCTTTCTGCTGAGGCAGAGAGAGAGAGAAAAGAGGGCTCTGGCCCCAGCTGGGTGTTCTAAAGGACAATCAGAACCAGGGACATTCCCCAAACCCCACCCCGTTTCAGCCCCCTGGCCCTGCAGGAGCTGATGAGGCCCCTGTAAGAATTGCTCCAACTGGAGAATCTGTGCACTTGGCACATTCCCGAGGTTTTGAGCTCATTTCTGCATGGATCAAGGACAGATTTTTTTAGAGTTTTTGTCTCCTCCTTATCTCCCTGTCCTGGCAAAGGGAATTCAAGTGAGGGTTCCTGTTTAGATATTTGGTTTTTGTTTTTTCTGAATAATGACTTCCAAATATTTATATCTGACTTCTCTCTCCCATACATCTTGTGCACCTGAACCTCTTAATGTCTCATTGGGGGGTCAGCAATCCGTAGCTCATGGGCAATCCACCAGATTTTGTAAGCAAAATTTTACTGGTATATAGCGATGTTTATTTATTTATAGCGTGTATTAGTTTTCCATTGGTACTGCAGCAAATTTCCATAAGCTTGGTGGCTTACAACAACAGAAACTTATTATTGCACAGTTCTGGAAGCCAGAAGTCAGTTTCAGGGGCTTAAATCTCGGGGTCAGCAGGGCTGTGCTTCCAGAAGTTCTAAGAGAAAATTGGTTCGTTCTTCTCCCGGCTTCCAATGGCTGCAGATATTCCTTGGCTTGTGGCTACATCACTCCTATCTTTACCCTCAGGATCAAATTGCCTTCTCCTCTTGCATCTGTGTCAAATCTTTCTCTGCCTCCCTCTTTTAAGAATACCTGTGACTACATTTAGGGCCTACCTAGATAATTAGAATGATTGCCCTATCTCAAGACTGTTAACTTAATGATATTTGCGAAGTCTTTGCCATGATATGTTTGTGGGCTATTATTTAACCTACTACAGGTAGTTTTGATGGCCACCTTCTCACTACAGCAACAGAATTTAGTAGCTATTACAGAGACCATTTGGCCCATGAGCCTGAAATATTTACTATCTGACCCTTAAAGGAAAAAGCCTGGTGACCCCTGATATAATTGAAGCCAAACACTGGCCATAGCCCCTAAGGCAGCCATCTCAAACAATAAGATATGCCAGAATCACTCTGGGTACCTGTTCCAGGGCTCCATGCTAAGTCTTCTGGATCAGAATTTCGGATAAGGTCTGAGGCAGGGGCTGGGGTAGACAGTGTTAGTAGCCAAAGATTGTATTTTGAGAAACATTCCACGTGCTTATACCTCATGGACCAAACCTTAATTTTTGGGTGATTTTGATTATCTACAAGGAGTAGCAGTGGAGTCACAGAGCAAGAGCTAGTCCAGTCCTGTAGAGCAGAAGTTCATCCACAGGCACTGTTGGTCTGGCTGTTGGGTGACAGCCAAAATAGAGAGAAGACGAGGCGGGGAGGGATAAAGGAAAGGGGAAGCTAAGGAGCAACTGTCTCACTCCTCCTCAGAGAAAAAGCAAGAACCCGATGATTCAGAGTGTAGATGTGGGAAGTGAGGGCAGGCATGCAATGGGAATGCGCAGAAGACTTTGTATGAACTAATTGTATTCTATATTATGATAATTTTATTAGCAGTAGTAGCAATAGGAATTTATTATTGTCATTGCTGTTAGATGAGAGTGACCTGGCAGCTGCCTCTTCCCATTAGGGGATAGTATATCTTACAAGGTAATGAGCCCCTGTCACTTAAGATGTTGAAACACAGGCGGAAAAACTCCTTGGCAGCATTATGCAGCAGTGATATGGGTACGGGGAGAGTAGGTAAGACAACCTCCAAAACCTTTGTAAACTTGGATTCTGATTGCTTGCTAAGCGTAGGGGAAGACCTTGTGCAGAAGTCCTAGGGGCCACTGAGCAGTGCCAGGCCTCTGATTTCTGCTGATCCCCATAGCCTGGGCTCCCAAGGATGTGGCCCACAGCCCTCTGGGAGCCCAATCTTATTTTTTCTTCTTTCTTTTTATGGCCTTTAGTTAACGTGATGTTCTTCCTGTCCCCTCGATATCCTGCCAATCCTCCTGTTTCCCTCATGCCTGACACTTCTTTCCCTCTGCAGTGCCTTCTCTACATCGTCTGCCAGGTTGAGCCTCTCTTCTCTTTCCAGAGTCAGTTCCTACATTGCCTCCTCCAGGAGACCTTCCTGGATCTAATGCATTCCTCTGAGCATTATCCTGTTCCACATCAATTTGGGGCATATGCATGCACAGTGCACTCTGACATGGAGACCCTTGCTTGATGTTCATGGTTTATCTTTTCCCATATAAATTCAGTCAGAACCCTGGGGCAAAGCCCCAGAAAAAACCTTCTCAAGTGGTAGGGGCTTGTCCTAATGGAACTCATAGAAGCAACATGGCCAGGAAGGCAGTCAGGAATGAGGCAGGTAGAAAATTCCTTGAGCAGGACGAGGGGGGCTGGGGCATATAGCTCTCCCCCATTTGCCAGCGTAAGCCGACCAGCCTGGGGTAAGCCTTATTCAACTGCATCTGCACTTGTGGTGCCAGGAACTTCTGGGATTAGGGAACATTGCCCTTCCATGTTTGAGAAGGACACTGAATATACTGGGAAGATAATGACTGGCTGCATCTAAAAAAAAAACACAAAAAACAAAGAACAACAACAACAAACCCAAACCAACCAACTCTTACATCCTAAGCTTTTAAAAGATAAAAGATAAAACAGAAAAATACAACAAAATAAAGAAACCTAGAATTAAATAATGCAGTTTAACAGCTGGATTTCTTTCTGAGAAGAAGAAAGCACTGCAAGGAAGGTGGTGAGTGGAGAAACAGGCTGTTTGTTAATTGTGCCTGCCCTCCTCTGCTAGCACCCAGGTTTGGCTAGGCGAAAGGAGAGCCATGCTGCCATGGGAACGTGCATCGGTAATAATCCAGGGCAGCCCAGAAGCTTCCGCATGTGGGCGTATGCACGTCTGTGCGGCAGGATCTGGGGCTGTCTCTCAGTGAGCCTCCATTGTTCCAGCACTGCCCCATTCTGCCCTGTCATTCATAGCTCATGAGCTCCCCTTGGCTTCTCTGGCGTCCTTTGTACTAAGTCATAGCACCCATTGTCCCTTTTATCCAGCTTTCCCATGTAGGATCCATTTCACCCTGTTATCTTTGTGTGCATACACGCCTCCTCATGATTCCTCTCTGCCTCCTTATCCCTCACCAATGTGTTTTCCTCATTGGTTTCCACTGTTCCCAGGGAAACTCTGTTGCTGTGGCACAATCTTTTGTACCCTGGACCTGCATCTCTCGAAGTGTTTTCCAAGAACAGTTCCACAGTATGATTCTCTACAAAGAAAAAGGGATTCTACTATCAAAGAAGTTTGGGAAATTCTGGATATTGTAGCTCTCTTTCTTGGAGAATTACAATGTCCATTGAAGTACATTAACATTTTAAGCTCTGGGAAGTCTTACAGTAAAGAACTTTATTATCTTTTTTTAATCTGGCATTTTCCAAACTATAGAATAACCTCATTCCCTAAAAATGTATGTGTCTGTGATGTGCATCCATTAACATCTTGCAGATCTATTGTTATACTGACTTTATCAGGGGTCCTTATTCTTCATCTCTGCTTATTGTCCTCTGTAATTTCGGCCTTTGTGTCAATTATTGATCAAATCCTACAGCTTCATTGCTGCTCAGCCTCCTTGGTACCAAAGGTCTTCACCTCCCTACAATGCTTATGTACATCCGAGATCTTGACCCTTGATATGTCTGTCTGTGGTTTTAGTCCTTTACTTTGACCTTTTCTGATATCCTCTTATAATTTGGGGGAGGATGGACGTGAGAGGAACAAAATCAACACCTTTCCCTCTTCCCTGGGATCTCTTCACCCAACAGGACCTCTCCCAACCTCTCTGGGCATACCCCATTTATATGGTGCATTAGTTCCGTTCTGCCTTCACTCAGCTTGGAGCATGGCACAGATACTGTGGCCAAAGCTTTCAACAGAGCTTTCTCTGTGCCCTAGTACCCTGTCAGCAACCCTGAAGCTCATGTCCTACCCCGTCCTACTGTCATTCTCGAGAGAAGTTCTCCAGTCATGACTTCATTTCTCTCTCCTCAGTACCCCGAGCCTACCCTGACCCTGGACTAGCTCTTGCCTACTGTTCCACCTAAAGAACCATGTCCCTCATGCAGGCTGAACCCCTCCCTCTCCATCACCTGTCTCCATTTCCTCCTTCCTCTTGGAGTTCTGCAGCCTGTCTCAGAGAGGGGGCAGCCCCATCCACCGTGGGCTAGATCCTCCTCTTGTGCCTGCCCTAAGGCCTTGCTCTGTTGTTGTCCCTACCCTTCCTAGCATAAAGATTTTCTTTCTCTAGGCTCATTCCCCTCCTTTGTTCTGCAATCTGCCAATGTCTTTTCCTTTCTCAACATCACATGGCTTGATTGTGCTGCCTCCTGTTGACTCCTTATACATTTCTGGATGTGGGGAATTAGAATTCCCCAGGCTTTCTCTTCTCACCTTTCCTTCCCTCCCATGTGAACCTTCCAAACTTCCTATTTACTATTTATTATATAATTTTAAAGCACATTCATTAATGGACACTATGCTTAGGAAGTGGAACCAAGTTTCTCAGGAGTATTAGAAAGAAAAAAAAAAAAGCAGAATCTTGGTTCTGTTTTCTAAGCATAGTGTTGATTAATGAATGCATTTTAAAATCATATAATAAATAGGCCAGGCACGGTGGCTCAAACCTGTAATCCCAGCACTTTGGGAGGCTGAGGCAGGCAGATCACGAGGTCAGGAGTTCGAGATCAGCCTGACCAACATGATGAAACCCCATCTCTACTAAAAGTACAAAAATTAGCCAGGCATGGTGACACGTGCCTGTAATCCCAGCTACTCGGGAGGCTTAGGCAAAAGAATCGCTTGAACCTGGAAGGCAAAGGTTGCAGTGAGCCGAGATTGTGCCATTGCACCCCAGCCTGGGTGACAGAGCAAGAATCCATCTCTCTCACACACACACACACACACACACACACACAAAGTCATGTAATAAATAGTGAATAGGAAGTTTGCAAAGTAGAGGAAAGAAAAAGCAACTATCTTCCAGCCATCTAGAAACCTCCCCAGCTACATCCTGCAACTCATGTCTTCAAAGTCAGTCCTGGCTCCAGCTTGGGAGGGACAATATCAGCCAGCCATCCAAGCCACCCTTTGCCAATCAGAGCTATAGTTCCTTGTGGTTCCAAGGCTCTACTTGTCTACTTATAAAATGTCCAAGGAAGGTCAGGAAAAAACCAACAGCTATTGTAAAACAAGCAAACAAACCAACTGCCGGAGTGAAAATGCTTAGGGTGAAGTCAAGAGGGGAAGGTTGAGAGTGTGGGAGGACCTCCTAGCTTTTGGGAGATCTTCCATTTAATCTTCTTGCTTCCTTTTCCTCATATGAAAGGCAATGGAGAGATGGGGATCATTTCCAAGGCAGATGAGACAAGGGTGGTCATCGCTTCAAAGAACCAGAGCTAATGGTGTGAAAGGTCCAACTCTGAGTTAATCTGTATGAATCTGCCCCGTGTGGGGCGCTGGGCAGTGGTGGTGGTACTGAAACACTTCTTCATCAGGGCTGAATCTCACAGTGGCCTTCTGTAATCTTCTGTAATCCTTTTCTCCCTGCAGCTTCCTGACTTCCTCCTCAAGGGTTTTCTGGATTGATTTTTTTGTTAAGCCTCCCCTCTATCTGTGTGGCTTGTGGACCCCATAATCAGAGGGAAACCTTATTCATGAATCCACACTTGGGCAGGATCCCTGGGAGACTCTGCTGTCTGTGTAAGAGATCCTTGTTTTCCAACACTGGTGAAGGCCGCACCTCTCCACTCTTTTTCATTAGATCCCCTTGTGGTCCTACTCTGGGATATGTCAGGTGGCTACCTGAGATGCGGTGTGAGGAGTCTGTAATCATGACATAGTGGTTTTCTGTGTTTAATGGCCAGTACCCTGTAAGGTCATAGTTAACTTTAACTTTTTTCCTGTCTAACACCCCTGAGAAACTTGGTTTCCCTTCCCAGCCATAGTGTCCATTAGTGACTAAATTTTAAAATCATACAATAAATAGTGAATAGGGTATTTGGAAAGTAGAGGAAAGAAAAAGCAACTGTCTAAAATCCTGGCCTTCTAATAGCAACGGCAATTGTCATTTTGGTATAACCCTTCCAGTTATTTTAAATGTGATATTTAGAAAACACTTGTAATCCTAGTATGTACATATGCATTTGTAGTGATTAAGACCTTGAACATCCTGATTTCTGATAAGATTCATGTGCTCCTCCAGCAGGAGTGACAGGTGGCACCTCAGGCAGACAGGCAGGGGTGACTTTTTGGCTGTGTAGAAAATACTTAATGTTTTTTCTATGAATCTAAAAACCTCCCAGTAATGCTGTCCTGGGATGGATGCTTTGAGGTCTTCTCACCATAGTAGTCAGTTCATCACAAGCCCTTCCACCTCTTTCTAGACTAATTTACTTCTAATTTACTTCCCTTTATAGACAGACCTCTGTAAATTTCCAAAGAACATAGCACTTTTAACCTGCTTGTTTTCTCAATAAGAATAGTTATCACCACTTTCATCATCATCTCATATTTGTAGAGAGCTTTACTTTTCCAAGTGCATCCCTGTGTACCAACTCATCATTTCTTGTAGCAACTCTGTAATGTACACAGTATTGTTTTCATCTGCCTTTTACAAATGAGGCACCAGGGAAGCCAAAAGACTTGCCCACAATGATATGTACTACCTACAGCTAGACCCCCACAGCTTGTCCTAAGCAGTGACCAGATTTCCCTGGATACCCTCTTTCTGTCTGTTCGTTCAGCACTCAGACCAATTTCTTTTCTGCCAGTCGCTTTCCTTTGTGGCTGGTTTTCTTAAACACACTTTTCTTCCTCCTCTTTGCAGGGGGTCGTGATAAGCGAGGCGGACCCATCCTGACCTTCCCTGCTCGCAGCAATCATGACAGAATAAGACAGGAAGACCTGCGGAAACTCGTGACATATTTGGCCAGCGTGCCAAGGTAAGGGGAAGGGGAATGGCCTGCAGAGGAGGGGGAGGGGAGCTGGGCTGATACCATTGTTGAAAGGAGCCTCTATCCCTGCCAGGGACCCTGGTGGTTTCTACCCTTGGAGTGGATTCTAACCATTCCTGGAACACTATTGTCTATTGTCTGCCTCATTCCCATCATTCCCATCATTCCCATTGTTACTGCCGGGATTCATGTGAATGGGGTGGGAGCTGGGAGTGGCAACTGTAGACAGAGGGGAGGGTCTCAGGCTAAGAGGACCAGCACTGGGCCTGCACTGGGAGACAGTGTGACCTGAGAAGTAGGGATAGGAAGCTGCTTTTTGCCTTGTAAAATGGGAACTCTGGTTGATTTTACTCTGGTTTGGCAATAGACTGTTTTCAAAACCTCTAGCTTGTGGCTTTTGGGGTTTGGGGTAAATACCTCCGCTTGTATCACTCAGCTAGAGAAGACACTCAGCTTAATTTAGGTCATGCATTTTTAGTGGGAGTGATGTTGCCCCCAAAGACAGTGAAAATTGGTTCTTGGGGATAGCAAAAGAATTTTTCTCATGTATTAAGCACAGGTATACACACTGTACCAATGTACAGTAAATGTGTGGTATTAAATTTTTACTAGGTAAGATGATTAGGGAAAAAAGATCTAAAAAGGCTCTTTCAGGGCCTAGGATGATAATTTTTAAAAGTGTGAGAAACACTGGTCTAGGTAGTACTGGCCACAGGTGGGTATGGGAGACATGCCACAGACAAAGTTTATGTATTTTGAGAAGGGAAAGAAGAGATCTTCACTTGATCAGAGAAACACAGGATCTGAGAGTTGGGAGAGCCCTCAGGAGCAAGCTAGGCAGATATGTGTCATGTCCTGCTTAGGGAAAGGGGCTGACAGGGGATGTGTGTGGTTCTCAAGCGTCAGTGGCAGAGCCTGGCCTAGAACTCAACCCTCCTGAGTCCAGCCCTGGTGCTGTCTCACCATCTTTGTTCTTGAGCAGCAACAGCACTACTCTCTGTCCCTTAGTGGGGCCAAAGCCTGTGAAATGTTTGTTGTGGCAAATAAGAAATGGTGCCTTGGATTTTCAAAACCTTCCTCTTATCTCTTTGCATTTTATAGGAGAATTAGTGAATTACAGAAGGGAGCTATATACCCAGCTTTGCCTTCGTTGGAAGACTTGGGATAATTTTTGAATATGCTGATTAAGTTCTTGAAGCAGGTGTCAAGTGAGGCAAGCACTGCATCTCAGATTGCTAAAGAAGAAATGAGTGTGAAGGGAGGGTTGGGGGGTAATGGGCAGGTGGTAAAGGAGATTTTAAGAGCAGCCATCACATGCTTGGAAAGATGTTGAATGGAACAGTGAGCCCTGAAGAACTTTAGGCAGAAGACTGTGAACAAATAGATACTGAATAGTGTCTGTTTTTGTTTTTTTTTTTTCTTTATGATAGCCACTGGGAACAGAAAAAAGCTAAAAAGGTCTTAGGCTCCAGTAAAAGGGATTTGGGTTATATCTGAAGAAGAACTTGTAAACTTTGAGTGCATGTGAGACCATGAATGTAAGGATGAAAGATTTTTTTTTTTTCTTCTGGAGGTCATTATAAAGAAGAAATACTCTTATCTGTCTCAGAGGCAAGGAGATGGACTAAATAACTCATGATTGATATAGGTAATTTAGCAATTTAGCCATCTAGGAGCTAAGCAGTTTTTTAAAGCACTTTTCCTAAGTATATGACTATCAGGCATAAAACCTGGAATTTTCTGAAGCAATTTACAATAGAATTTTTCATAGGGACCCATGATGAACTTTCAGTTCTTTTGAAAACAGAAGAAATTGGGATCCCAGAAGAAGAGATATAAAGGGTACATTTTTCTTTCTTGCATGTTCATCACATACCTGCAGCTAATTCATGCTCATCTTTTCTTTAGAATAAAGAGGGAGAGTTGGAAGAATACTTTCCTTCATTCTGACTTGTTAAGCAAAGAGTGGGACAAAACAGATTGGAAGCAATTTAAAAAGAAAAGATTTCCACTGGGGCAAAGGGGAACAAAACCCAAGGGGGGCTGAGAGGAAGGTCATGAAAAAGGTGGAATAATACATTATCACTGAAGGAACACAAAAGATGCAGGCTCTCTGCTTCTCAGAAGGTGGTCACATAATTGCAGTCTGTGTTCCTGAGAACAGGAAGGCTCTTCATAGGGCAGGCAAGAACCCAGTTGCTAGTGGGAAGAACTGTTCTGTGAGGCCTGCTGCCCTGCCTCCCGTGGGACCCGCATTCACGAAGAGTGTAAGCATCTGACAGGCCACAGAGTCCACCTAGTCATGCCCATTAGTCACTTTCTAATTCTGTTGGCCACATGTCACACATAATGGCTGTTGGATAGAACAGGATTGTTCTAAAGACAGTGAAGTTTTGGGCAGGAAAATCAAATAACTTAGCTGGTCAGATAGTATTTGCCACTTTCTTCTGTGTAGCCATGGCTTTAGAAGAGAAGGGGAACAATGAAAATGAATAGATTCCGTAGATGATACTGATGAGAAGAAATTGTTTATCTGGGTCATGATCCAGGATGCTAAAAAGACAGGCTCCTATTGGAGGCGGATTGTTACAGGCTGGTGTGATCAAGCCTGTAAGTGACATTTGATCCCTTTTTTTTTTTTTTTTTTTAAAAGACTGAATCTCGTTCTGTTGCCCAAGCTGGAGTGCGATGGCACAATCTCGGCTCACTGCAACCTCTGCCTCCCAGGTTCAAGTGATTCTCATGTCTTGCCCTCCTGAGTAGCTGGGACTACAGGTGCCCACCACCATACTTGGCTAATTTTTTTGTTTTTAGTAGAGATGGAGTTTCAGCATGTTGGCCAGGCTGGTCTCAAACTCTTGACCTCAAGTGATCCACCCACCTCAGCCTCCCAAAGTGCTGGGGTTACAGGTGTGAGCCACTGCACCCAACCAATATTTCCTGCTAATTTATTCATGTATTTATTCATTATGTAGTCAAACAAGTATTTAGAACTTCTCTATGCCAGGTAGATTGAGGATTTGTGGTGAACAGGAACAGACATTTTGAGAAAGTTAGGGGAAACCTGGGTATCTCCCTACCCAGTGCCAAACAAGTAATAGTAAAAGGCACCCAAAGATGGGAGTGCATTGGTAGCATAGGAGATGAGCCAGCCAGCAGAAGACAAACAAATAAGGACAAGTGAGTGGTGAAAGAGGATCCTGGAATTTAAGGAACCAGCCAACTTAACGGCCATTTGGTGCACCATTTTAGAATAGGTGATTAAGCAGATAGTGTTGATAATTTAAAAATGAATAAGAAGAAGTAGTCTTACTCTCCTCTCTGTAGGCCAGGCCATATCCGGACCACTGCATTCAACTCTGCCACATTCATATGGCCAGCTTCATTTTAAAAGCGACATAGCTCAGTTAGAGTGCTGTCAAGGGAGCAGCACATTAAGGCACCCACAATCTATGTCTCTGCAGTGGAAGGAATGAGGAACGTTTGCTGGCAGGCGTAAAGATGAAGGGAAAAAAGAAGCAATTCCTGACTTCAGGTGTCAGGAGTGCTGCCCCACAAATGAGGAAACAGGGCTGGTGTCTGTTGCATCAATGGATAGACATTAGAATCAGGAGAAAGAACCTGCCCACGTGGGAGCTGTCTAATAACATTGCTGCTGCCTCTGGAGAAAGTGAACTTCCTGTCCCTGGAGACCAGATGACCCTCTGTTAGGGAAGCTGTAGAAAAATTTCCTCTACTTTGTTGGAGGTGGGCTTAGATAACTTCTTAATTCCAAGTTTCTGTGACATTGGAAAAAACAATACATCAGAAAATCCAGGACCTCCAAACAGAGTATTACCACCCCCACCAACATGCACACTCTCTTCTCAGACATCCTAAGTAAGTTAAGGTCTGGGATTTCACTTAAGATTTTGTCTATACCTTAAATCCTAAGAGAACTTCTTAGTCCCCTTAGACTCTAGGTGGGAATTTTGGGGCATTACCTAGGACCAAGGATCCTACTGGGGTGTAACAGTTTGAATCAGTCCTGTCTTATTCATTCAGGTCCATCTTGGCCTGAGATGAGTCCCTTCATTTTAACTTCTCTGTCTTGCTCCTGATGAGTTTGGGCATCTATCTCCTAGGTCACTCCAGGTTTCCATCATCTTTCTGAGGAGTCATAGATAACAGGGTAGGAAGAAACCTTAAAAGTCTTCTAATTCAACTTTTCAATAACTCCATCCACTCAGTTCAACAAATGTTTACTGAGTGTCTGCTATGAGACAAGTTCTGGATAGGAATCTTGATGAAATCTCATGTTATCTTTACTGTCATCCACCTACACTTATCTAACATTTTTTTGTTCTGGTCTGCTATCTGCTTGCAGTTACTTGTACATGAAAGGAGTGGAAAGAAAATACTCAGATATGATCAGTTGATGAATGTCCCTAGAAATTGAGAGGCAGGATAGAAAATCCAGCCTGAGAGTAAACAACTGTCCAGGCCTAGCCCACAGTGTGGATAATCTACCTACTATGATTCTTGGGAGTTGATGAACTGCTTGAAATAGGAATTTCTAAGTACTACATCTAGTAAAGAAATTCTGTGTCACTTTTATTGCATGCATTCCTCTTCATCATCACTATTAGCCTGCTTTGTCACGACCTTCTTTCTGTGACTCCTAAGGGCACTAGTTGATGTATCTGACACTTAATCTGCTCTTAGCAGTGCCACTGAGATACTGAGTGTTCTGCCAAGGAATGCGGGTATCATATTGGAGACGAAAGATGATAAGAAATTAGGATGAGTTATTCTGTAATGTCAGTTAAATCAAGGTGCCTTTACTTGTGGCTTATTATTTGATAACATTTTCTCTTGTTCTACTGATTTCAGCAAAAGATAAGTTGGGCTTATGGCCAGCACTGTCCTTGTGCAGCACCACCAGAAAATAGGCATAAGCAGAAAGAACCAAGAAGACAGTTTAAAGAAGAGGGGTAAAAACTGTTAAG